ATAAAAATCCTGCCAGAGCCACAGAAAAACATTAGGAAGAAGTCACTGCCCCTCCTCCCCACCCCACAGCAGACTACTCCGGAGCCTGGGGGGACTGCAGTAGATCTGGTTAGGGTGGAGTGGAGATTTTGATTCCACAGACCCCAGGAGAGAGGGCAACCGGTGTGCACAGTGGACAGAGTTGAGGAGGATGACTGACCGGAGTGAGGACAACAGTTTCGTGGTTTTCTTGAGTTGTCACCCACGCTGGGGTGGGGCTTTTCAGTGACATGGCTTACCAAGAGCCACCGATGCTTCTGTAACTCCATAAACTCAGTGGGTCCCAGATTTAACTTTGGTGGAATCATTTCTTTTGTCTCCTATGGGGGATTGTGGCATACTGGACCAGTGTTTGTTTTACCAGGAAGAGTCTGGGCTCTCCCAGCTTTGGGGTTGCCAGCCTTGGAAGTCATGCGGTTAGTATGTCTCCCCTGCCTGACTGGGCCTGAGTTCTCTAGACCCTTGGCTTTGGGAAGGTTGGGGAAAATGGCAGACTGGCTTTATTTCTATACTGTAGATGATTAAATGGAGGACAAGCAGCTGAAGGGCATTGCTGAAACAAAACTATAGTCACCCCAGAACGTTTAGGGCACACAGGACCACTCTGGTTGGGATTCATTCTGTCCTGGCGCATCATGGGATTGAGGCTGGGTCACGCTCTGAGTGGAAGTATACACTGCCTCTGTGAACAATTCAGAAGCTCTCAAAAGCTAACAGGAAGAAAGGTGAAGAAGATAGACTCTGGGCCTCTTGCCCAGAGCTTAGATGACCTCTTTACAATATCACTGACTGAGATGACCTCCGCATCCCCTACAACCCAAGCACAGAACTCTCTGGAAGGAGACAGAGCTTCTGAACGTTGAAGAAAAGGTCTCCCCGAGCTTGTTGTCACCGGTGGAGGCTGGATACTGTAGGGATGTAACCTGGAGAGCATCTTTTATCTGAGCTCAGGACCTGAGCATTTTAGAGCTAAAGGAACACTTGCTTAACTGCAGAACCTCCGTCACAGCGCAGGGAGCGAACTCCACGCCTAGGCTTGCAGATGGTGTCCTGGCTCCTTGCTTCCACTAGGGGGAAACCTTGCTCTGCATCGGGCGCACTTCTGCCCGGGAGTAGGAGGTGCAGTGGCCAGTTTGTTCTCTAAGCCTTTCCAACCACAGAGCACATGGCCCCAGCTTTCTTCATGCAGGTCATTCACCGTCATTAAGGCCTTGCGTTTTGAATCTTATGGTCAAAGAAACACTCATTCAACCTCACTTTCCTACTTCAGAATCCTTGGGCCTTTGGGGGGATTTTTCTGGTCTTGGGGTTTCAGCCCACTGTATGCTGGCCTTAGACCTGGTGTTTAATGTATGAATGGCTTTTCTTTTGCACATCTTGATCCTTTTCCATCCGGGAGACATGCTAACCATGTGGCTCATTTACTTCCTATGTCTCCTGAGTTCTCCTGGCTGCTCCTCAGCCCCCAGAATCCTACACCCCACGATTCTGTCATACATCGGGGCATCCTTGGTCCTGTGAGGGAATGAAGGCCCTGGATCCCATGAGCCAGGCAGCTCTGAGCACCAACTCTGTCATGAGCCGCCATCTGCTTCCACCCTCTAACAGGAACCTGCCGAAGCCACCCGGCATGGCTTTGAGGGCAGATGAGCTCAAGGATGCAGGAGGTCCGATGGAGAAATACTGCTCTCATCCTACTGAGGAGGCTCGTTATCCCTCCCTGTGACTCCTGAGAAGCCTCTGGTCTCCTTGTGAAAGCTTAACAAAAACTCCCCACAGGTTGCTCACAGAATAGCAGGAGTTGAACTGAGCTGAGCAGCACCTGGGCCACGCCCACTGTGGGGGCGGGTCGCTGGGCCTGGACACAGGTCCAAAGACCACAGAGGCAGGGAGCAGACCAAGGTCTCCTGGACAAGCAGAGACTTGGTAGCAGATTTGGCAGTCTGAGGGTAGAGGGTAGGTAGTTCCATAGCAGCTTCCTGGCCACAGTCTGGGGTCATCAGTGGTCCCCACAATACACTACACACTGTTGAATAGTTTTAGCTTAACGAAACCTAGAATCACTGGGGAAGTCTTAAAGAGGAATTATTTTAGATCAGATTAGCCTGTGGGCTCCTCTGTGGAGGATTATCTTATTTGTTGATGGAAGTGAGGCGATCCACCCTGAATGTGGGTGACACCAGTTCTTGGGCTGGGTCTTAGACTTTATAAGTGTACATGAAACTGATGGGGGTGGGGCAGCATGGATGCATTTCTTTCTTTCTGCTGTTGATGGTGGATATGGTGATTTAGGTGCTTCCAGTTTCTGTCATCATGACTCCTCCCCTATGGCAGACTGTATATAACCTAGATTATAAGACAAAAAAAAAAAGCAACCCAACTTTCCTCTTTCCTGTTACATGTTGCTTTTTTACCACAGCAACAGAAATGGAGCTAGGACACTAGGACACTAGGCTACCTGATTCTCATTCTTGCTCCGGGGTCCTGGTTTGGTGGAAGGAATGGCCACCCTGATTACAATGTTACAATGGTCCTGGCAGTGTCACAGTCTCTGTGGATGTTCTCTGTTTGCCTGTGATGTCTGTCCCTGGCACTCGTAACCAGGGAATGTTCTTCTGAATTATTTCCCAAGGTTGGGACAGCAGCCCTGAGCTATTTCACTCAGGCAGCTTTGTCACTAAGCACTTTCTGGGTCCATGACCCTGCTTTCTAGATAGCTGGCGTTTAGTAAATGAACTCTGATCACCTATATCCAATGGCCTGCTTGGACTGTGTGGAGTGATTACCCTACTCAGGCCTTGCCTAGGGGCTGCTGCTTGGAGCTAGTAGCAGCCTTTAGACTCACTATTCTAAAGACTACCCACATCAGCCACCTGGAGTGAGGGGGTACTAGGGAGACAATTTTCCAAGCTCACCAACCCCTGTATTAAGCCAGCCCACATTGGAACTCATGGTGACACTTGTCACTCAGGAAAGTCCCACTCGAGTCTGGCTCATGTCACTAAACAGGCAATACAAATTGCTATCTCCTTTCAAACTCCCCCGGTAGCCACCCCCAGCCCAAGCCAGAGAAATAGACTTCTCCCTCGATGTGGGGGCCGCTCTTGCCAAGGCCTGTCATCACTGGCTATGTGGGATAAAGGGCTGTGGGCTGGCAGCATGGGAGGGCACACTGGCCCATCATTACTCTTTCTGGTACAGCTTTGTTACCTGAGGTAGCCTCCTTGAGAGCAGTGATCTGCTGTGAAGAGAACCAAGCCTGGCCCCTTAACCCAAGACAGGGGCTGCAAACAAACAGAAGCAACAAAAAGAAACACGGAAGAAACAATCCCTCGCAGGCAGACATTCCAATCCCACACCACCATGGAAGAAACTAATGGGTAGACACAGGGTAGGACAGGAAGCCAGCTCAGAGTCAGGGCCAGAAATGAGTACTTCATGGGACTTCATCTCTTCATGATGTCAGGGGCTGTCCAGCTGAGGGCAGACTTTCAAGGACTGCAATTAAGAAGACTGGCAGGAGGCTGGAATACCAGTGAAATGGGGGCTGCTTTTCGAGAGCCTCCACCCACCAAGGCAGAAAGTGCACAGCTCCTTTCTCTGGCCCCAGGCAGACAATCAAAGATTCTCCAAGAGGGACTCATGATGGCTCAAGGCTGATGTGACCGGGAACTTAGCCCTGGGCCTGTCCCACGTGTTAGCGCTTCCTACATTAGAATGAGAATGGAGAGAGAAGTAAATAGCCACCCCATTGCCAACAGTTTGGGTCGCCTTTCTCTTGATTTCAGATCGCTTTCACACTTTCTGTTGCTTTCTTTGCCTAGTAAGGATCTAGCTCTGTACTGATTGGTCCCAGGTTTGCTGCTTAAAGGGACATGTGCCATACCAATGACTTCAGCCTCTCGATGTGTCTTCTTGCAGCAGGGATGAATTTCAGGTCAAAGTCCCCAGCCTAGTGATGTCACGATGCAGGTCTCACGGTTCCACACAGTCCAGTCTCCAATCACCAGGACTCGCTCGGGCAAAACTCTTTCCATTTCACGAGCCCCGACACATCTGACTAGTCACAGGGTTCTCTAGCGATAGCAGCGTGTTTGACGGTGGGTGGGAAGCCCAGACTCGGCTTGGGTGTCAGGAAACAGTAATGAATGGATTCTATCATCTTCCTCAAAACAAACCATCTGGATTCAGAAACATTTGAGTGTCAGGGAAAAAAGGAGGGACCAGAGACAGTAGTAAATATATCCAAGAAGGCTGCTGGTCTGCAGCTATTCATAACTTAGTCTGGTCATTTTGCATATAAACATCCGGATACTAGCAGTGACATCCCAGAAGTGGAGTCGGTGCCACCCCCCTGAGTCAGGTCACAAAGGTCACATGCACACCCAGCAACTCGAACGCTGGGGCATCATCAGACTCTTGGAGGGACCCAAGGATTTTTTACACACTGGGCTATCACCTGGCCTTTCTACACTGGCAACCCCCACCCTGATACTGCCCCTGGGAGATCACAGAGCAAATACAGGGAACCACATGGTTGAGCAGAGCATGAGGACCCAGAGGAAGTGTCCCATGAAGTCCTGATGCCTGGGAGAGTGTCTGATCACCTGCACGGGACCTATAGCAGCCCAGCCCAGCCTGACAGGTCTGAGTGCCTGTTCAGGGTGTAGTTGGATAAGCATACCCAGCATCCCTAGCACTGGGTCACTATCCCACCTCTAGCCCAGTCCTGATGTTCTGGGCCTGTTCCTCCTGTGTGCTCTGGAGCAGGGAGAGAAGTTACCCTCCAAGCCTGCTAAGAAAAGCAGGTGTGTTTTCCAAAATAAATAATATTTTGTAAATATTCCCTTTCTACCCCAATCTGAGAAATGGCAGAAGAGAGTATGTGAAGGTCCTTGTGCCCAGAGCCACCTGGTGTGGCTCTCACAGGACCCTGAACTTCCCCGGCAGGTCCTGTAGGCTCACAGCTGTTGTGGGATACCCTGATCCTTGTACCCTGTGAGGAAGAAGGAGAGGAGAGGTGATTAGGGAGACACTTTGTCCAACATGGCCCCAGACCAGAATATACACTCATGAGACCTTGTCTATACTGTGAGACCTTATTTGTACAGGGAGCAGCAAACATCTACTATTTACAAGCAAGGCTATTGGCTACCCAGGAAGGGAACAACTGTCTGACATATGTTCAGCCAGCTGGATAACTGGGACAGGATACACACTGAGTCTTCAGAGCATCATTGCTAATCTTGAGATTTTTGTTTTTCAGTATCAGAGATGAGACCCAAGCCCTCACACATGGACTAGTACTTTACCTCTGGCTGTACCCCATCCCTCCCTGAGAAAGTCGAAGCACTGATGTCTGCACAGACTGCTAATCTAACTGGGTGAGATTACAGAGCTCAGATAACAGGGGAAGATGTACTGAGCTGTGATTCTTCCATCCAGTGCCTTTGGTCTGAGGGGGAATGCCAGGAGCCCCACCCTCTCTATAGTAGGTTACCTGTCAATCTTGGGGACTAATAACCCAATGCCAGTTAGGGACTTAGGAACAATACAAGAGATGAGAGTGACCAAAGATGGTGCAGATGTTAGGGACCTGTTGTGGTAAGTACTCCATTCCACAGAGAAGCTAAAACATGCAACCAACAATTAACCAATGAAGAGGATGAGATATCTGTGCAGGAGGGAGGGTGTGTATCTACCAACAGACTCACCTTGGGAGACTGCAGCAGCAGAAATTCAAGGCAGCAGAAGGAAGAGGAGAGAGAAGAGAGACAATCTGAACATAGGGCCAAGCACTAAGTGTGTAGAATGGGGAGGGGCTCTACCAAAGACACTGCAAAGGCAGAGCTTCAGCCGAGGGACCAGCCACATGGCCAGGACCAGCTCCGCCTGTGTCCCACGCCCCTGCCACTGTCTGCCCAGTGCCCCTTTCAGCCACACCCACACCTGTTCACCTCCTACCTCTTATCCTTTTTACTTTACCCCCCCCAGCCCATGCCCTCAGGGTGCATTCTGAATGATTTAAGAGGGACAGGCAGAGCCACGGCAGGTGTGACTGACAAACTAAAGATCCTGCAGTGACCTGCCTTGATCCCAGTACAGCTCTGCCTGGTCTTTCTGGTTAGTCTTTCTATGGACTGGATCCACACTTACAAAGCCCGATGTTTTGGGAAAGACCCGAGGAGAGAAAACATTTGCAGACATCTTGGATCAATTGGTAATGACTGCCCAGAACCTTGTGCTGAGACAAATGTCACAAACGATTACCAATGTCTGCCATGGATGTCATAATAGAAAAAGCAGTCAGGAGAGCTGCCAGGCAAGCACTGACCAGACAAGCTGCTCTCAGTGTGGCTGCTCATTAGTAATATGGATGAAGTGTCTATGTTCAGCCAAGGCTCTGAATCTTCTCAGAAGTTTTTATTTGATACTATGTTTCTTGTAGCATCCAAACGTGCCACGTGAAACCCAGCCTATATTTTTTGTTCATCTATGCAGTAGGAGTAAGCCTCTACCCAGCTGTCCCTGGGACAAAGTCAGTTATAGCTGTCCCCTTCTAAGGATCTATTCCAAGACACCTCCTCAAACATGGCTGCTCAGAACAACTCCCATGGGAGTGGTACATTCATCTTTTGAAGGTGAAAGCAATTTTTAGAAAAAGTGAAAAAGTAGTGGCTATTGAGATTGGTGGGTGAGTCTGGCAGTCTGGCAGAGGAGGCAGAGATTGATTTTCTTCTGCAGTCTCCAAAAATCAAGATAGAAAAATTGGTGCTGAGACAGAATCCCTGGATACATCCCAGATTCCTAAGAGGCTGACCAACCCACAAGGGAACTGAGAGGGCGCGAAGGAAGGGCTGGGCTGGAAGCCCTGACATCTGTTCATCCTGGCTCCTACACCAGTCCATAGAGTTCTGGAGAAGTCGGCAGCCTGGGGAACAGGCAGGGAAGGAGTGCGTCTTGGCTTCTGTATTATCTTATCTAGGGTTAACAGGAGCCCTCTGGAGCTTATGGCTTTGGTCTAGACCCCTTGTTCCTGGGTATGAGGGGGGGACAAATGACAGATGCAAAAGATTCCTGACTTACAGTGGCTCAACTCTTAACATTTCAAGATTAAGACGTGTTACTTGGGGTGCTGAGCTCATGTTTTGACATGATAGTCCTGCCTGTAATGGGTCCAATGGGTAGTAATCCACAGGAAGTCAAAGAGCATCTGGATACCAGGAAGCTGCAGGAATCAGATTTGGCATCAATATATTTATTGAGACCCAGTCTGGCACATTCCTCACTCCCATGGCAGACCTGGGATGTCCCGTAAAGGCCCAGGTATGAAGGCTTGGTCTCCTAACGGTAAGTCTTCATCAGCTTACATGGGGCATTTATTCCCTTGACGGGGATATGGAGACTCTTGTTTCTTCTCTTCCCTTCCCTCCCCAGGCATGAAGCGGGTGGCTTTTGTCCTGCTATGAAGTGCTGTGTGGTCACAACTCAGAACAGATCAGGCCAACCCAGCCTGGATTGAGTCCTCTAAAACTCAAGGTAATGTAACTCGTTTTTTCTTGATAAGTTGATTTCTCCCTGGCATTTGTTATAGTAACAGAAAGCTGTCTAATCCTCTTACTAAAGTCCCAACACTGCTGACCCCAATGCCAGGCCGAGGAGCAGACAAGCCAGGAGTGTGAGGATGCTACAGCCTTCCCAGGCCTTCTAGAGCAGCCGCAATTCCTGGGATCTAGCTGGGAATGGGATCTAGTGCCTGTAAATGTCTCATAAGTCCCTGAGGAAGTGACACAGTGGCCCCTGGGGAGTCTCCATGCTATCTTTGAGACTCACTGTGATTGGTGACACAAATGACAGTACGTCTCTCCTAAAAGCAATGCTCTGACCCTCTCCAGCATTTCAAGTGAGCCCAGTGAAGGGTCATCAGATGCAGGCGAGAGGGCTATACAGTCCACCTTGATCGGAAAGCTCGTCCCAGAAAACAGGGGTACATCACTTCTGCCTGATGTACCTCCTCCCCCTGACTGCCATTGGAGGGATTAGCTCTATCTATGGGACATCCTGACAATCCACTGACCCATTAACTTCCTCTCTAAATTCCCAGAAGTTCTCTGTCAGTGTCTGGCACCCTGGCCACCCACACTGAATCCCACCAGGCTCTGACACTTGAATTTTCTCTAGTGGGGTAATTTAACTAGTCCCTGACCCTGGTCCTAGCACTGTGTGTGCATAAGCGCCTGCATTTTCCAAGGAACTCTAACTAAGGCTAAGTAAGTCCTAGATCATTCTAGACTAGTCTAGATCATTCTGTGGCCTCTAGATCTTGGCTTTTCCTCCTGCTTCCCCTGATACATCTTGTTCTACACTGGCAATTTAACATGTGAATCCAGTGAGGAGTAGCAGATGGGGACAGAGTACAAAGAACAAAGTGGCTGAGGAGAGGTGACCTCAGTTATTGAGGCCCTCCAGTCAATGAGGTAGGAACAACTGTTATGACAGGTGATGTCTGAGGTAAGATTCTGCCAGATTACTTTTAAAATGATCGTTTGTCTCTGGTAGATTTGATTTTGCAACTTTAAATGTTTCCACAAAACACTTTTGTGCATAAATTGGTTTTGCATTAACAATGGGTGAATCATGAACACCTTTAATGATAGTGAGAATGCATAAGGCTTTGATGCCAACCAACCAAAGAGTGTAGTCTAATGTGGTTAAGACTCATGCAGGTCTATGTGTAAGACACAGTTACACAGCTTCCTGTGGGTGAAGACAGTTCATGGGCCTGCTCTTCCCCTAGAAACTGTGACAGAGACACACAACCACAGGCCAGGAGGCTTGCCCAGTTTCAGTGAGATGGCTGCTTCCTTGGCAAAGGCAAAGAGTGGTGTCTTAGCTAGAGAGGACCTCTCCCTTGGGGACCCACCCTGTGGGGCTGGCATGGTAGAGAAAATGCTCTGGATCTGGTGGCACTAGGGTGGAAGAACAGGCATGGCCTCAGAAACTGGGTCATGAATACAGGTGTCTTTGGGGTGAGAGGGCCTCCTGTTCATCCCAGGTTCCTCCACAGCTCCGGCTCCCTGGGCAGGCTCTGCCCACTATGCCCTCAGAACACACCAGCAATTACTCACTGGCAAGGATGACCATGTCCATGCCCCAGAAGATGCTCATGATCCAGCCCACCATAACGATGGCCGTGAGCACCTGAATGAGGGCTGCAGCAATATTCAGCCAGAAGACGCAGCACACGTGCCTGTCCGGGAGGTCAGTGCGTGCCCCACACAGCACAGTGAAGGCCGAGACGAATGTACCTGGGAGAGGCCAGAAGGGAGAGCTTCAGAGGAGGCTGCACAACCGACCCAGCCCACCCTCACTGCTGGGAGAGGAGCTGTAGGTCCTGCACCTCCTGGGCAGCCCTCCTGCTCTGGTCCCAGCCACAGCTTGTCACCAAAGTGAAGAGGTTAGGATACCACACGGAGGAGGTGTGATATGGGGACTGCCAGGGTCTAGCACCATGCCTATGGCTTCTGGAGAACAGGAGTCTTGGGGTGACCCAGGAGCCAGTCTCAGAGGGGGAGTTCCAGAGAGCTAGAGAGCCAGGAAGTAGTCAGCCCGTGTGCTGACTGCTAGGGGACAAGACTACTGAACCCTGTAGCGTGCAGGACTACAGCCAGGATAGTCTCAGCGTCCCTGAAGTTCCCACAACCACTCCAGCCCCAGGGGAGGGGTGTAGGAGGAGCCATCTGAGAGGTGGTCCCTTTTCCCTTTCCCCACTCACCTTCCCTTCCCCCTTCCCGCCAGTGTCTTCTGTATCAAGAATATCTTGTGTATTGTATGGATGCATCACCTGTCAATTAAAAAACCTATGGCCTATAGGAAAGGGTAGACTAGAAGGTGGGACATCCAGGAGGCAGAAAGAGTTCTGGAGTAGAGCAAGGCACAGGAGATTCACCAGGGAGGATGTGGCAGCACAGACGCATGGTGCCGGAGCCCAGGTGACCAGCCACATGGCAGGATGTAGATGAGAGTAAATGGATTAATTTAAGTTAGGATCTAGTCAGAGAAGAGTCTAGCTACATGGCCAAGGTATTTGTAAATATATTTTGAGTTTGAGTCTTACTTCTGGGAACATGGGGCTGGGAAGAAGAATCAGGACCTAGCTTCCCCAGTCTTACCCACACTGCTACGTTTACTGAGTTTTGCTTGACAACAGCTTCTCTCTGAAGTGAGCTCTGACCCTCATGAGGACTCGCCCAGGTTGGCATTCTCCCTATAGATGCTTCCTGAGGGCTCTAGCAACAAATACCACAGCTTAATGGCCTCCACAACACAGACGGCTCCTTCCTCTGCTTTGGAGGTCAGGGCACTCTGAATGGGGCTAGTGTAGGGAAACCATTTCCTGTTGCCCCAGCTTCTAGAAGCTGCCTGTGGTCTTGGCTCACAGCCCCTTGCTCCATAGCACGAGCCGGAAGCAGAGCACCTAATCCTTGACCAGCTCTGTCTTCCCATCCCTGGGCCTGCCTTATGTGAGGACACACTTGGATAATCTCGTCTCTCAGGGCCCCCTGCTTCATGGTGTCTCAGAGTCCCTTTCATCAGGTAAGTTCACACACTCACAGGTTTGCGGGCTGGTGCTCAGCCTTCCACCTTAGCTTACATAGAAAGACTCAGAAAGCATGTTGCCCGGGGTCACAAGCATAAGCTGAGCCCACACTGGGCCCAGAGACCAATGACCTTGCCAATGGCAGGCCAGGATCTAAATCAAGACTTTGGGGAAGTTGGGCAGTGGATGGGTGACCGTTCTCATGACCCCAGTCCTCTCTGTTCCTGCCTCGAAGACACTGAGATTGTCCATTCACTTCCAGCTGAACGTGGTTTCCAGCCCCACTTCCCAGCTCGATGGCTCCTACGTGTCTCTCGGGCTGTAGGCTTTACTCTAGCCTGCCCTGGGAGTCTAGCTGCTGATTCCTTATCCCTGCCCCCCTCTTCATCTGAGCTGCCTCCCCAGTGAAGGCCCATCCCATCACCTCCTCTCAGATCACCAACAAGGCTCCTCACACAGCAGGTGGTCTGTGGTGATTAAAGGAACACCCCTGCCTTGAGTATCTTAGATCTTAAACCAGCAGCAGCAGCATTTGCTATAGACACAGTGACCAGGTTCCCCAACAGCCTTGAATGTCTGAAGCGCCCGGAAGTCTGCATTGCCAAACAAACTCCCCTGCTCCATCCCAAGGAATAAAGAAGGTCACAACAGTATGACAGCCAGGAAGCTGGCCTTGCACTGACTACACTAGCACAGAGCATTGAAGTGCTATGGGAGCTGGAGGACCAAGCGCTTGTCCTCACTGAAAGGACAGTCTAGCAAGGGCACACAGTGGCTGAGGGCTTTCCTTTCTGGGTGCGGAGTACACCTGCAAGTCCATGTAAGTTGCCTCAGGCACTAATTCGGCCTTGCCCTTGGTGCCTGCTGTGCTGTAGAGAGACTCACACTACACCGGGAAGGTTAACTGGCTTTTGAGTTGCAGAAGGGAAGGGGAATGACTGGGACAGGAGACCCTTTTAACCCAGTGGGAGAGGGGTGTGAGCTTAGACATCGGGCAGACAGCAGTGGTGACAAGGGTTAGCGGATGAGGTAAACATGAGTACTAGCTGGACCATTGTGAAGGATTCTGAACGCTGTGGTACGGTGCTGCCCAACCTGCAGAAAGCAGAGCCCAGGGAGCTTGGAGCAGGAAAGGGATGTATGTGAAAGGAAACTGAAGGATGTGAGTCTCAGCAGGGCTGTTGGGTTTGAGTGGCACTGGAAGGAGAGAGTGCCTTTCAGGTATCCTGAGAAGTGACAAGGACACAGGGGACTTCGGTACATGGCTCCATCCTTTGCTGCTGATGAAGCATCACGTGCAGGGAACAGGAGAGGAACAGAAGCTGACAGCGGTACACAAGAGAACCCCGCAGATGTAAAGAGATGGTGGGAGAAGAACCCGGATGCGTGGGGGAAGTATCAAGTGAGAGTAGCACAGACGCCATTACAGTGTGCTGAGCACACACTACCCTCTCTGTACCTACATTGCCTTTTCGTTTACATCTGTTTATTTATTAGAGGGAGAAGCACATTCCTCTGCATATGCATAGAGATCAAAGGACAGCGTGAGAGACATTGATTCTCTCCTTCTATCAAGTGAAATCCAGAGATCCAACTCAGGCTGGCAGCCTTCGTGGCAGCCACCTCCTTAAGCACACACACTTGGAAGCATCTATATGGACAGATGCAACTCCCCAACACACACAAAATGGAGAAGACTCTTAACTGTGGCCTCCCTTCTTTCTTCCTGCCAAGGAAACTTTCCTCTAAAGTAGGAATTCTTCCCCTCCGGGGTATGTTCTATAGCCCAGGCTATCCAGACTGACATCTCTGCCTCAATCTCTCAGGAAAGCAAAGGGATGACTCTCGGAACTGCTTACTTAAGCATGAGACAGAGGCTGGAATGTGGCTGAGTATTGTGCATGAAGCCCTGGGTTCCGTCCTCGGCACCAAAGATAAACAGAAAACAAACATTCCCCCAGACGACGTGGATGGATCACTAGGCTTGAGAGTACTCCTGCTGTTTGCCTCACAGACACAACACCAGAAAACTAACTAACCAGACCATGGAGATGCTGAGAGGGTAAGAACATTTGCTGGGCAAGTAAGAGGACCTGAGTTGGAACCCCTAAGTCACAATTCCAGAGTTGTGGGGTTAGGGGTGATACAGATGAAGACAAGCAGAACCCATGCACTTTCTGGCCAGCCAGCCTAGAACATTGAACTTCAAGTTTGGTGAGAAAAGGAAGATGAACAGTATAGGGTACCTGCTCTTTTCCTTTGGCATCCATATGTACAAGCACAAGAGAAAGGTAGAGATAGAGAGGCTCAGAGACAGACAGAGAGACGGAGAGACACACACAGAACTCAACCTTATCAATAACTCAAGTGCCCATGGTTCTGGTCTTTTTAACATAATACAGGACAATGCTTCTCTAGGGCCTAGGCCCTGGGCATGCTGCTTCTGGAGGTGACCACATCAACTGGTCCAGCAAAATGATAACAGCAAAATGAAAGTGCTTTTCATCAAGCACTGACGTTTGTGCTACACAGCATGTGGTGTGAAGGCATGCATGTGTGTTCCACACATCCTACCGTGGCTGTGACAGAGATGGGCCAGTGGGAGCAGCTTGAGGAAGGTCTTCCCACAGAGTCACAACAAATACACGCCATGCCAGTTTGCTACCACAGTTCCTCTGGCTACTGTTCCACCTGATGAGGTATCTGTGCCTACCTCCCCCAAGGAACTTGGGATACAGGTCTGAGCCAGGGAATGGGAAGTGAAATAACCCTCTACCCCCCTCTTTCACTCTGTGGAAGTCCCCAAAGGGCTTGCCTAGGGTGGCTCTCTGGGCAGAATTCCCAGAACTTGCCTTCCATCCCCTCCCCCACTTCTGTCAAGAATGAGAAGTGGCAGAGCCTATAGAAGAGGGGGTGGCTATGCTTACAAGAATAGAGCCAGGAGGCTGGAGAGTCCATCCCTTGTACTCTCCTGGGGTTCGGCTAATCATGTACATCTCATGAGAGCTGTGAAGGTGCGGGTTTGGGTTGGGAGAGATCTTGCTGACTCTTTTTTGCTTAGAGAAGGGCAGGGCTGTGCCCCTCAGTGAAGCTGTTGTCACTGCAGTAAATCACACTCCTAGGCACTAGGCTGTAAATTGGACCTGACCCCAGATGTGCCCCACAGCTGGTTCTGCAGTCACTAAGATGTATTGGTGGTAATGAATGACTAATGCAGTTCCATAGAAGACACAGCTAAATACTTCCATCACTCAGTTGAACACAGCCATTCATCTTCCCAGCCTGACTGAAAATACACTCTGAGGGACAGGAAGAAAATGGCAAGGGAGCCCTGACCCAACTGTATAGTCATTTGGAAGTCCCACTGGTTAGTGGCAGAATAAAGGTCACACGCATTTCTGAATAAAGTCCCTAGGAACAATGTTCAAGGTAGCCTTGAAAGCAAACAGCCTCACTCTCTCTGGCCACAACCTGTTAGCTTCTCAGGACAGTCATCCTGGAGCATAGTCTGAGAAGAAAGCTGTGCTCATAGGGCAGAGAGGCAGGCCTGGGGAACCTAACTGGGACTGGCATGTAGGTTTTAGTGGAGTGCTTGCTTAGCATCATCAAGATCCTGGGTCCCAAGGCCAGCAGCAGCCTTATCTTCTATGTCTGAGTCATTTCATTCACCCAGAGAGAATTTCACAGAGCCAGCCTGGGTCCGCGGCT